ATATATATATATATATATATATATTTATCAAAACATATTCCGTACTACAATACTCGTTAATTAATGAATGACTTTAGAGTTAGTTTATTAAATCAAACATGAGTACTTAGTAACAACTTTTAAAGTAGGGATTGATTGAAGAGAAGGCAAATTATTAAAAAAAACCAAATAAATTTAATAGTGTTACACAGTGCCTGCTTTCCCAACAGATCAATTTCCCAAGAAATCTGCAAGGCTTTTTGATGTTTTCATATTTTGCTACCCCATCAATCAATTATTAGGCTTACACATTTTCACATTGAAAAAAAAATGCACAAAAAGACCACAAACTGACGGAAATAAGCACGCAAACCAAGCAACCACTCAATTCAGAGTAAAGAAACTGAACTGAATATATGCTATCACCATCATGATATGTAAATACCTCGACCTGATTGATAATTCATATGCAGATTGAGTTTTAACCAAATTGGCAGTTTCACCCTAATACTTCAAATAACATGTTCTTTTCTTAAAACCTCATCTATTTACTACATTTACATGAAATAACTATAACCCGCCACTACACCTTCCAAATACAAAAGCCTGCAAGGAATTTTTATAAAAGCTTAACAATAAAAAGTAAGTTAAATCTCCAGCGAATATCAGCTAATAAATGTGCATGCAAGTTTTCAAAATCTATGACATAACATCCTAATAGAACTTATATTGAGTACTATGTTCGAAAACCACACAACAATGTATAAGTTGATCAACGAACTAACAGAAACAAATTGAGGAAGCGAAAAGTCCTATCTATCACATTTCTAAACATTTGCAAAATTGCTTGAAATTTTTGCTACTACACTGTTATCTGCCATAACTACAAAATTAAGATATTCAAAACATTCAATCATCGTTAGCATAATTAGACAAAGTATGAATCTTTAATCACTTGGTAAATTTGGATGAACTGATCACAAAATATTATACTAACTATCACTTTCAATATGTAATTGACTATTCTTTGTTTTCTTTGACTTTTCTTTCTCAATCGCGACTAGTGATTTTCGACGCCTTTTTTTCCCTCTTTTTCTCCTGTAATCACTTACGTTAGAAAAACTAAGTCAAAATTAATGACTAGAAGAATAGACTCTCAATAAACGATAATAATCCAAACAATAAAATCACTGAAATAATCACATGTGAGAACGATCACTATTTTGTTTGCAGGTAGAAAATTACTAAAATAAAATTTTGAGACGATTTCGTAGCATAAAGAAATTCACTTTCGGTCGCATTGAGCATGCAGAATCTCTTCTATATCATCAGGATCTAAACCCGCCATGATAAGCTCCTTTAATTTGTTTTTCTTCTTCTGTTCACCGAAATTTTGTTGATCTAATTTAATCTCTGCCTCTCGTTTCGCTACGAGTACCTGAGTAACGTAACACTCTACCTGCAAATAAAATAAAGATTAATCTTATTAAAAATCGATACCCTTATTGAAAAACGCAATAACAATAACCTTTTTGTGATCAAGAGTGATTTCTTGCAACGTTTTTCCAATTATTGCTTCAATACGCTGCAACAAGAATATATCATGCTGAGTAACGAAACTAAGTGCCATTCCGAATCTCCCCGCTCTCGCTGAACGGCCAACTCGATGTATGTACGTTTTAGGATACAATGGAACATTGTGATTAACAACTAAATCAACCTACAATTTCATATGTAGATAGCCAATAAATTCAGAAATTCTCTACAAAATGATAAACACTTTAACTTTTATGAAAAATATTGAATAATCGAGAAATCTGTACCCCCAGTTAAATGAGTTCCAAACAGAAACCGGATGTAACAATCGTTTCTCAGTCACCAATATCATTTGAAATTAGACCTCAAGAAAAATTTTCTACTATTGGAGATGAAAAAATACTTGAGGTATGTCAAGCCCACGTGATGCAAGATCAGTGCACAGTAAAATCTTTGTACGACCGGACCGGAATTTAACTAGAGATGACATTCGATCCATTTGCTTGATCTGTGAATGTAATGACACCGCCTATAAATGCAATTCTATTTTGCAGAATATTTCAGTTTACATAATTCGAAGTGACTCACAAAATAATGTAAACTAAAAATTCCTTTTGAATGTCTAAGACGTTGTCAGAAACGATTTATTGAAACATGGACAAGTTATTTCTTTAATACAGGAAGTTAATTACAACTTCTAATTGTAACCTGAAAGCCCAATCCACGGAACATAACTGCAAGTGCTTCACATTCTCGACATGTTTCAGAAAATACCAAGATGGAACTATTTGGATTCTTTTCTAGGAAATTTTTCACGACGTACACTAAACATGCATCCTTGATAGCATGTGGACATAGTACATATTTCTGCTCCAATGTGTCGACAGTAGCAACCTCACTCTTATCTTCGAACATGTAGGGCTTTCTCAAAGATACCTGAAACTTAAGACTTTGAGATTATTTCAAAGTGCTACTTGTTCAACTATTTCCAAATGAAAACGAAACTTTATAAAGTGAGTGAAATATTACCTGACTTAGCTGGCTCAATGCTGATGTAATCGTAGCGCTGAATAACAAAGTTTGTCGTTGCTTGGGCAAAAAACTTAATATGGTTTTTAACTGCAAAATACGAGACTTCAGCACAGCACAATAATTCTAACTTTCATTCTAACGCCGTTTTCCATGTTATAATATGTAAATTATAGGAAACTCAACACCACATGAGTTACAACAAAATTTTAGATTCACAAGAAACTGATTTTGCTAAACATAAGCAATAAATTCAAGTTTGCAGAAATCAAAAAGGCTCATCCTTAAGAAGGAAGGCATAATTTTTAGTAACACAGTTCTCCCACAAATTATACACAATACTGACTTCCTCAGTATACTGCCCTTCTAAAAGACGATCTGCTTCATCGAGTACTAAAAATCGCAAATTTTGTAAAATCTTTCCAGCGTTTTCAGCATCACTTTCCAAATGATCAACTAATCTGCCAGGAGTTCCAACAATAACATGAGGTCGTCTGAAAAACACCCTGTATACATGAATACAGGCTGTCAATTTGAAAAATTGATGAACTTCAAGCTCTAAAAATCATTTTTTGAGAGAATGTTACCTAGACAAAATATTTCCCTGAATTGTACGATCCTCTCCACCAATTATGATTCCAACACAAAGACCAATGGGGGCACCAAGTGCAGTAAATTGATCTCCAATTTGTATTGCTAATTCTCGTGTTGGAGCTAGCACCAATGCACAAACGCCATAGGGATCAACTGCCAACTAGAATATAGAAACTCAAATTAATTACATTATCTTGTAACCATTTAGCGATTTCACTTTCAGAAGGAAACAAAATATTTTTACAAACAGTATACGACGAATACTGAACGAGAAATAATAAATAGGATATCAACTCGACATTATTTCATTCCATATTAATATTTAGGAATTAATCATTATTAATAATAAAAAACCTTGTGTAATATTGGTAGAGCGAATGCCAATGTTTTGCCTGTTCCAGTCTTAGCACACGCCAGCACATCCTCACCGACGAGAATGGGAGGGATACAGTTCACATTAAAAAAAAATTACGATGCTTTAGAATTTCAGTTGCGGCCATAAAAAATTTTATATAAATGTTTTTGATCTTCATTACTATTTCTTTTATTATGGCCTACTATCGCAATGAAATAAAAGATCTAATTAATTAATTGAAAATGCTGCATTAATATAATTACTTGTACAGGTGTTGGCTTACGTATTGAAAGACGCAATAACTGTTTGCAGAGCCACACATTTAATCCTAGCTCAGCAAAACCTGTTACAGTACTATCCTGCAAATTAGATGTGAAGAATAAAGAAAGCTAATGATGCAAATGACCTGAACGGCAAGGAATAATACTAAGCAGAAACCTGGTGAGGTTTTGATACTGATTGTTGCTCCATACTGCGACCGTGTACCTTGAATGCTCAATAGAATGAAATGCTATGTGGTTGCACTGTTCTCGTTTTTATTGGCATGCCATAGAAAAGGTCAGAAAATAACTAAACACTGAAACAATATGTTTTATTGTTTTGTTTTCTCGAAAAAAAAAATTTTTTTAAACTGTGCAATAAAATATCGTAAATATGCAAATAACTTATAAAATGAAGCGACACACGTAACGCAGCCAAATTGAGTACTTGTGGCACTCAATTCTCTAGCTGGACTGCTTGTATGATCTCATTCACGTATATATTTGTAAAGTGCGCTGAGAGAACTCCTCTTAATGAGATGAAATCTAATGACAAAAAATTAAGTTTGCACATGAAATCATATATGAAGGAATAGATTTCAGAAAAGGGATGACTGAGAAAACATTTATTGTGAAGGAAAGAGTTGTTCACTGCTTTCAAATAATCAAGGCTAAATTTACAATAGATTTTTCCCTGCATCAAAAGACACTGACTCGATTCTTTGAAAGACACTCAAATAGCACGAAAGAGCATTGAGTTAGAAAAGTTGTGACGCAATACACATAGAATCAAGCAGCAATTAACTTAAAACTTCAAAACATAAGGATCTAAATTGCTAAACAGTAAAATACAAGGATCTAACACTACTAAACAACATATATGATATCTGTATGGACAATGAACCATCAAACGTAAGCAAATGTTCACAATGAAATTAGCGTATAAGTTATTGCTAATCTTTTCTGGTAATAAATGCATAGAATAAGTTAGATCATTAGAACTGGATAAGATAAGATATAGAATAATCAGCCTCAGTTACCATCTCATAGCGGATATAAAATTATTCAATAATGTCGCAAGCTTTACCTTCACGCTTAACCGCTACGTTCTTTTTAGCAAATTATACCTTAAACCAGATTTCTACCTCATTCTGCAACTCAACAAATCGTTTTAACTGAATTTGTTCACATCATCAGTATGGAGTGAGGTAGACAAGTTAAAGAGGTTATTTTAATTACTCTAACAGAGTACTACTAACAGTTCACTACTTTTATTGGTATTTTAATTATTTATATGCTTAGTTTTTAACGGTCTCAGCTACTGTTTGCAGGTGGAAGTTCAATATGCATGTTGTAATTATTCATCCAGATTTGGGGATTGGTGGAGCAGAAAGACTAGTTGTGGATGCAGCTGTTGCTATGCAACAAAATGGACATCAAGTACAATTTGTAACGAATCATTACGATCCAAAACATTCTTTCTCTGAAACACCGAAATATGGTTAATTTCCTTATGTATTATTCGTTTTTATCAAAAAACTTTGAACCATAACTTTTGTAGCCTTTTATAGTAAATAGCATCATTGTTTCAGATGCATTCTTGTTTCAGACATTAAAATTGTTGATGTATTCCCACGATCTATTTTTGGAAGTGGATATGCCTTGTGTTCTTATATCAGAATGTGTATTGCAGCTTTATACGTTTGCATATTTTTAAAGAAAACAGAACTTGTATTTTGTGATTCTGTGAGGATTTATTTTGTTAAAGAAAAGAGCTAATTTAATGTTCTCATCATGTGTTTCATATGACGTTTTTGGCATGTGCTGTCAAATTATCACTATCGTATTTGAATGACTTCAGGTTTCATCATGTTTGCTCATTTTCCGAATATTCCGATTGCTTGGTTTGTTTAGCGCACCAGTTATTTTCTATTGTCATTATCCAGATCAGTTGTTAACGGATAGGAAAGGTATGGCGAAAAAGTTATATCGCATCTTTATCGATTCGTTTGAGGTGACTACATCAGTTTTTCAATTTATTTTAATTCTGCGGATAACTGTTGTTCTACGCTGTTTTTTTATTGTAATACAGTGATTTCACATCATAGAGTAAAATCGTTATACTGTCTTTATGTGTTGAGCTGATTATTAAAAAGGTAATTGTTTACAGTTTATTTGTTTCTTGAACTGCAAGAATAAAAGTCAGGGAGTATTGACGGATATGTCTGGATTTGAACGGATTCAAATTTGTTTGAAAAACTACTATGGTTGTAGACACCGATTATTTATACTCTTATTAATTTCAGACCTGGACAATGACAATGGCGGATTCGTTGTGTGTGAATAGTCAATTCACAAAAGAAGTTGTGAATAAAACTTTTCCATCACTTCGTGGTCGACGTCTCAATGTACTTTATCCAACATTAAATACCAAATTTTTTGATAACTGTGAAACTGTTGATTTAAATGAAATCCCATCAGAAATGAAGCATGTTTTCTTGTCGATAAACAGATACGAAAGGAAGAAAAATATTGCGTTAGCTTTGGAAGCATTTGGTTTGTATTTGAATTTATATTTATTCTATTATGAACCTTTTTATATTCCTTATCATATTTGAGGTTTATATATTGACTGATTTTAGACTTGCTCAAAAGGAAAATTTCGGAGGTCGATTATCAAGGTTGTTTTCTAATTATTGCCGGTGGTTATGATCTTTCAAATGAAGAAAATATTGCGCATTTTGTTGAGTTGGAAAATAAAGCAGCTGCTTTAAATTTATCTAAAGAACAGTATCTGTTCTTGAAATCACCATGTATGTTTCATAGTAAGGTTCACTACATATTGTATTTTTTTTTTCTACGGAACTTATTTAGAACATAAGGTAGACAAAAATTTTTCTTTCAGCTGACCATAAGAAACTCAGTTTGCTCAAGCGTGCACTAGCAGTATTATACACATCTAGCAATGAACATTTCGGCATAGTACCCATAGAAGCGATGTATATGCGATGTTGTGTGATAGCACCAAATAGTGGCGGACCCCGCGAAACCATTGTTGATCAAGAAACTGGGTTTTTAGTGGATCCAGATGCAAACTCATTTGCCGAGAAAATGGCGGAACTTGTCGATAATAGTGCTAAGGCTATGTTTATGGGTGATGCTGGTCGTAAAAGAGTTCGAGCTATTTTTACTATGGATAATTTTGCTAATCGTTTAGAAACTTTAATGAAGGAGGCTGTATCAGATTTTAAGAAGTGAAATATTTCACTTTAAGTCTGGACGGCTGGTTAGTTTTAGTTTCTTGGGCAGTTGTTCTGCGATAAAATCTTAAAGTAGATACAAATTCAAAGTGATTCAAGTTCTTTATGTCCTTAGTCTCCAACGCTGTTCGATCAGTGATTTTCTGAAATTTTAATTCCATGAAATACAGACCAAACAGCACTTAAGTATTTTTACTGTTTGCAGTGCCCTAGAGCTAATTCAGCTCAACTTGAAATAAATTGTGTTTCATATTGCTAATGACTTGATATTTTTCTTTTTATGGCTTTCGTGAAAATCTTGATTATTTTTTGATAATGGCATAGTCATTGCAGCTTTTTAAGCTTTTTGGAAGCTAATAATTGGTAGCGCATATTTTTACTTGAATAACCTAGGCACTTAAATTACATGAAATTGTTAAATGTCTTCGAGCAACAGAAACCTTTTGTTTATGGAGAATCACAGGAACAGTAGTAAGTAAATGGGAATGCGACAAACTGAGTTGATAAATATTGCAGAGGTGTTTTTGGTAAAGCTAAAGTTAGCATATTTACAGAGTTTCTGAATAATTGGTAAATTCATGGCCTGATGCTTTTTAAAAGTTGAAATTTAGTTATTGTTTTGCCATGGTGAGGGCTGTTTTATGATTATCATATTTTGTCATAGTTTGTAAAATATTTTGATGTTAAGATTATGGTAATTCAAGTAGGAGTTATCAAGAACTCATCACAATTAACTCCGTTGTTCTAAGGAATTAATTTTGCGATATAAGTAGCCTTTTTTAGTATATTGGGAACATAGCACGATAGATTTCATTTTGGTGAGGACGAGTGAAATGTGGAAGATCTATCGAGAAGCAATGATCTTTAATAAAAAGGCAAAAAAATTAGAATTACCGGAAAGGTCGATTTCAGCACTCAGTCTCTATTACTAAAATTTGTCTTTTTTGTAGTCATGGTTACGGTCTAAAAAAATGCATCTTGTGCAGATAAGTTATTTGTTATATTTCTCATTTCTCTATTGGTAGTAATAATTCTACTTAAAATGCCGTAAGTTCTGCATTGTAATCTTCATTTTTATTCTAGGTAGTTAGTGTTTTTGTGAAATTCATTGCATGACATGTAATAAACCTCTCCCTTTTACACGCTGGAAATGATATGTGATGTATCTATTTTACTCAGTAAATAGTCACTAATTTTCCAAAATTTTGAGGTTGAGAGTTGACAGTTCTGTGGTTGTTTTTTAACTATGAAATGAAGTGTTGAATGATACCATGGAAACCTTAGAAGGAAGTTGGGAGTATTGAAATAAATAGAAATGTGATTTATTACTATTGTCAGAGTACTTTTGCGTGAGTAATTGGTTGACTAACAAACAAATGCCTTCATTCGCTGGTTTATATGATTTTAAAGTTTGATGCTATGTGTACTGCATATATAAGGGCACAGTAACCAGAATGTCAATTCGCAAATTGTTTTTTCACAATCCTGAAATTCTCATTACGGAAATGTACATCAGAGCAAAGTTAGTTCTGTATACCATTTAAAATAACAACATTAGAAAATTAGGTGGAACGACTCTTGAATATTACGGTTGAAGTTGTTATGTTGAACGAAAACAGAAGAGATAGGAAATTAGTGTCGTAGAGAATTAATTCTTCAGATCCCTTGTTTGCATGATGATGCACATGTATTTAGGTAGATCCTACTTGTGTTTGTAATCTAACACTGATGCATAATGTATGAGGGCGGTCTGATTTTTTAACGTATATTTTTTTTAAACGCGTTTTTCCCACACTTTTGCTTAGTTTATAGCTGGTATGTTGTAAGACTGTTCACAACTATGGGAGAGGGAAACTAGTTTTGTATGAACTGCGTTTATGAGGTCCAAGGGCCTCATTACTTAATGTCGCGGTCCGCTTATTGCAGTTAAAGTTAGTTATGTCTCAGAGACGGGGAGTTTAGTCATTACATGCGTCACGTTATTTGCTGGATTGCAGTATTGTCACACAAACCCAAGCTAAAGTAATGTTTGCATGGTAAGCATCACCGTTGTAGAATTACGCTCTTCACCTTGAATAAGGATTGGTATCAGGTAATTAGTTAAAAGATTGATCCCACACTTTCTTTAATATTGTATTAGTAGTTTTGTTGCTACCCGAAGTTATTGCTTGGAAAATTATGAAGGAAAATCTGCTAGTTAATGCACTGAGATTCCTTGTTCCGACATGCAATGAACTGAAGATTTGTTGTGAGGAACGAAGTATATATTACTGCTTTCGAGTGTTTTCTTTTTGGAATTTGACAAGTCTGAGCAGTGAAAAGCATAGAGAATTTTAATTTGATAGAAATGGTAGATTATGCATGAGAAAACTATATTTAGTACTATTGTTTTATTGACGTATGTATGTGAATTAGTTCTCATTTCTCATGGCAATTCAAGTCACTGTATACAGAAGTAAAAACGAGCTGCATTCATATGGTTTGAGATATATGATCTGCAGAAAAGAAATTGATTAGTACTTTCATCAATTGTTGCTAACGCGTTCTTTCCTCTCACACATGAGTTTTGGTTAATTCTACAAAATGAAATGTCAATTTTCTTTGTCTGCCTCAGTTGTCATCCTTCTGTGCCTTTTTGAAATGTAATCTGCAATTCCCTGCACTACCTTCTCTCTCTCTTTTTTTCCCATCACGTATACACGTACATATATATATACATACATATGTACGTATACTCATCGTACTTACAGACATATACGCATCTGCGTTGGGATGTGTTGCAATCTCTTCCCTTGTACAGTGTCTCGCACTCAAGTGAGCATCGATTTCGATAAGAAGTTGTCTCTTTTATGCATGCGTTTGCATTTGTAATTTATGTATTGTGTGTACATTTTACATTTTAAGTAAGTTGTATAGTCTCACCTAAATGTTCATGCACACAGTTCTAATTCTATGTTCGAATATTCTTCATTGTTGAATTGTGTCAACCGTAATGTTAAACTTGATAAGTAATCACTACAGAACTGATTCGTTTAAATTTTATTCTTATACTTTTTCTAGAGCACAGTTTTGTAAACGATATATGACTTTCACTGCGATTTTTTGTAACTGATAGAAATTTGTATCTCTATTTAACACACTATACTTAGTAAATCATTTGTTGAGATAACATATACAGGAGAGTGAGGAAATTAGTGTCATCGAGAATTGAAATATGCAAACTCAGGTCTGTAGTAATTGCAGCTACTTGAGACATGAGTGATTTTTTTTAAAATTAGTAATAGATTCAAGATACAATATGCACGCTAATTTTTTCTGGTGTTTCAAAGAATCATCGTGATAATTTGAACCGTTAGAATTATTCTAGTTTTTTGATTAGTTATTGAAGGACATGGTTCGAAATTTTACCAGTTTTCTGTAAAACAACGATCAATTGTTGAAATTGAACTTTAGGATTGTTGCATTTATTCTGCTTGGCTTTATAAGTTAGTAATTGTGAACATGATTGAACATCGCGTACTGTAAGCACTCATTTACACTTAAGGCATTGTAAATTGTAAATTTAGGATTTATAAGCTACTGAAAAAAATGACTCTTGCCGAGAGCAAAGCAATTATTGGTAAGCCAGCACCTGAATTTAGAACAACTGCAGTCATCAATGGTGATTTTAAGGAGGTTTCGTTGGCACAGTTCAAAGGCAAATACATCGTGTTGTTCTTTTATCCACTTGATTTGTAAGTTTAGCCTTGTTTATGCTTATTCCATGAAAAAATTATGTGGTTATTGCAGTGGTTATGTTGTGGAGAGAAATATTAACTTTATTATATTTGGAAAGGTTAATTTTCAGCACATTTGTTTGTCCAACGGAAATTATTGCATTTTCTGATCGCATTGCTGATTTCAAAGAGTTGGATGTAACGGTTTTGGCGTGCTCTACTGACTCCCACTTTTCACACTTTGCTTGGGTAAATACTCCACGTAAGATGGGCGGTCTTGGACAAATGAATATACCAATTCTTGCTGATACAAATCATGCAATTAGCAAAGCATATGGCGTACTAAAGGAAGATGAGGGAATTGCATATCGGTATTTGTAATTTTAAGTAATCCTGTCTGATGTTTTACAGCGAAATTAGTGTTTTACTTAGCATGAAATTAGCAAAGCCGATCGCAAATGAGAATCGTATTTAATTTTTTATGTGTTTGGTATTTCTTTACGAGTGTAAAACAACAGTTACTCCCATGTAGTTTACATATAATTGAAGCGATGCAAAAAGTTGAATTACAGCGGATTATTCATTATTGATCCGAAAGGGATTTTGCGACAAATAACAATTAATGATCTTCCTGTGGGTCGATCCGTTGACGAAACTTTGCGTTTAATTCAAGCATTTCAATTTGTTGATAAGCATGGCGAAGTAATTTTTTGTTTTGAGCTTCATGTAAAGTTTTCTTGTGCTGCTCGATAATTTATTAAATTAAGATGTGTTTAGTGGGTATCTAAATTTCATATTTGATTTTAGGTGTGTCCTGCAAATTGGCATCCAGGAGATGATACGATCAAACCTGGAGTGAAAGATAGCAAATCGTACTTCGAAAAACATTAAAAATTATCGTTGGATGTTCTTTTAATCATTAAATTTTATTGATTTATCGATATATTCCGCTAACTGTTTGCAACTCAAAAAATAAATTTTTAGTTTTTGCAGAAAATTCATATTACTTAATGTTATTCTGTGTATTTGTAGCCTTGAAGAGATTTGAATTGTGATTTCATTTTGTGTTGGTAAATGAATCTTAGATATCGGAGGTGTTACTGGCTTGAATATATTTTGGCAGAATGACTTTATCTTCTTCTGCTACAGTTTTGCCTGAACAATTCGTTACTTAAAATCAGATTAATTAGTTAAGATATTTTGACTGCTGGTCATCACAAACTGTTCCATTGATCATCTTCACCATCTGTCTAATATTGCCGCATGTATACAGAATATGTTTTGCTTGTCGAATAATGCAGAGAGAACTCATAACTAAAGTGCTAATTTAGCCACTTTTCGAAATAGTACTATGACTACGTACTGTGCTAATAATATGGATGGTACCTCTTGTTTGGGATTAGATGAACGAATCTGTGCTTTACGCATCACTCTCCCAGAAGGAGGTGTAGTGGTGTTGATCGAAAAGTTTAATTATAGTAAAGGACATATGGTATTAGGTTTTTTCGTGTTGAAGTAAGGTAGTGCGTTTGGTAGTTGGCAGTATTGTAATTCATGTAATGTACTTGGAAGTATGGTTTGTCATGTATTAGATTTAAGGAAGCAGTGATGAAGTAAATGCGTGGTATTTAGTATTGAAACCGGTAGTAATGAAGTCAAAGACATGATCGGCCGTAAACTTTCACAGTAGTTCGTTACGGAAAGAACATAACGGATGAATTTGGAAGTTCGGAAACTTGCATACCTTGTACTCGTGGAGATGTGTGTCAATTCCATTTGTTTCGGTTGCTGTAAATAGGTCTCGTTGTTATTATCAGATTGCATGTTTTGTTCGAAGTGTGACTAACTGAAAAAATATCAACTTGGTTTTCGTGAGGATTATTCTACTAAGATAAAATATTGAAGAGTATGTTTGACTTAGTATTAACTGAATACTGAATATGGTTCGGATTTTTTTGATTCATTGGATGGTGAAGAAACGCCTGGTGTATTACATGTAGGTACAAGAAGGAAGTCATCGATTTATGTTCAGTATTTATGGATACGTTTACTTGTATGTTTCGAGAGATACTTTTCGAGCTGTGCTCACCTAGACAATATGCTGTAGTTTCGTTCTGAAGATCAGTAATTTAGTTGTATCGACCATTACGTTGTGTAAAGCAGCTTGCTGTGTGATTTATGGCATGAAAGTAGTTCATTAATGATTTTCAAGGACAAATTTTTTGGTCATTTTGAACTTAATCAAGCCTATCACATATCGCACAAAACATTTGATACGGTTTTCTGTAGTTTTTATGAGCTTTGTATGTGATATTTTACTTGAATGCTTGCTAACATTTGGTTTGATATGAGCAGGTTTAAGTTGTTGTAAAATATTGACATGAAAGTGAAGATGAATGCAGTCACGAGTTAAGCCATCGTTACGGCTCTAACAGATATAGAAGTATCTGTCTTATCTATTATTATATATATATATATATATGTTTGTAATAAATTTTTTTGAATTTTGATGGTGTCAAATAGTTTAATAGTAAATTTTTTTGAAATATCTATTCATGATACTTTGATATACAGATATTTATTATCATGAGCATTGCACTCATCATCATGTCTAGTCTTATCATTTTTCTTGCAGAAAAATAAGTCAGCTAAAATTTAGTATCTACTTTGTTTACTTTCAGCTATGAAATCAAAATTATTCTGGCAACTACTACAAAGTAATATATAGAAAAGTTGTAGTTTTCAGTTATTGCTTGTTTTTCATTACCTCTTTGCACTGCATAATATTTCAGTCTAAATGACTTCAGTGTTCGCATGTTTTTGCATTGGTTATTTTTTTTGCTTAGTTACTGTCGTCATAATTAGTTGCGAATTTTCATCAAACTGTGAATATTTAGGTTATTAAAAAGCTACATTGAATCGATTTGTTTGAAGTAGCAGAATGAAGAATTTCATTTGGATTATTTTGTGATATTTATTTACTTATGTCTTTGCTATTTACTGTGTACTGAATTATTTGGCTACGAATTTTCAACAAGTGTTGGCTTTGATCAATTCTCAGTTATTTAATAGTGTAAGAGAACTACTTTTATTAATTTGATTTAATTTGATGATGTAAAATTTGCATTCTTTATATTGATACAGATTAGGAAAACTTTTTATCAAGCTAAACAAAAAGTTCTTGCCCAACTATTTATTAGTTGTTTAAGCTAGTTTTTTTTAAATGTCTTTAAATGATTATTGAAAGTTTATGATGGTAATGATAAAGATTGTCGATGTCATAGTAAAGTTCGATAATGATTGTTTGGGCTGTGATTATTGTAAAAGCTGCCATTCTAGTTGATAAAAATCAAATTCGATCATGTACGTTCCTAATGAAGGTGGTTTGGCAGAGGAAGATGTGAAATTGAAGACACGGTTTCAAGGACAAGTAAGAAATTTTTTATAACAGTCATAGTTTGTCATTCTTTTGTGAACTGAATGTTACCTGAAAACTCCAACTTTTTGGAATTGTTATGATGTGTTTTAGATAATTATGCATTATACTTCACTTCATTATATGTGATTTACATGTCATCTCATACAAGTTTTCAAAAAAAGTGCAGCAATATTAGTGAATAGAATATTTTGAGGTATTAGTCTTGTATGCCAAAATTCCATTACGAATGGAAACATTTTTGGGCAATTTGCGTGAGGCATGCAAACAGGCTCAAAATCAACCTATTACTGTCAAATGGATTGATGAAGAAGGTCAATTTTTCTAATGACTTGATCATTCTAATAACTTAACTATCTGTTAATTCAAAGATTAATCATCCCATTCTGATTTCTAAAGCTTGACTGAAAATGATTTTTTAAAAAATTGTCTTATTTCAGTGAATTCAAATGTTAGTCGAGATCATTTATCATTACATTTAATTGCGACTCAGGACCTTTTTTTTTTCTCCTCATCTATACCAATGTAGGTGATCCGTGTACGATTTCATCTCAAAGGGAATTAGATGAAGCAATACGTTTGTTACATGCAAATGGTGAAGCAGAACTTAACGTACATGTTTTTCTTGGTATTCCTCCTCTGCCTGGTCTTCCTTGTAATGGAGAAGATAGTACGTTAAATAATTTTAAAAGTTCTTATTAAGTTCTTTATTATATGTACTTGTTATACAGTTTTCTATCACTTGCTAAATTTAGTTCCTAAATTAATGGGCCACGATTCTAGTTATTGTTTGAGTTTTTGAAAGAAATACTTTTGAACGAATTAAAGGCTTTGTCCTGAAAGATTGTTGCTATTAGTAATGATTAATATCGACTTTTAGAGACAGTAACTAGAATTGTTTGAGAATCTATTATTTAAAAACGATTAAAGCTAATCTATTTAACAGAAACGGTATATCGGCGCGGTGCACGTCGTTGGAAAAAATTTTATCATGTAAATGGACATCGATTTCAAGCTAAGCGCCTAAATCGAAGAGTTCAGTGCTTCTTTTGTAACGATTACATCTGGGGTCTTGGACGTCAGGGTTACCGTTGTGCTGACTGCCGTCTTTGCGTCCATAAGAAGTGTCATCGGGCTGTGCGACAACCATGTGGTGATGTGGGTTTTACCACCTGTCAATATATTTTTGAATCTTTTTTGAATAATATTATTCATTTTCAGAATGGTAGTGAGGCAGTAATAATATCTCCACCTTCCGTACCTGTGATTTCTACAAAATTCAATGGAGCAGCTATGGAACGTATTGGGCTTGATAATCAAGCATTTAAGGAATCTGAAATCGAAGCAGTGAATAATGCTGTTGTTAGTCATACTAAAGATTTTTTATGAAATGCTATCTAAAAAATACACCAAAAAATTTTAAAAAGTAGTGGAAATATTTCTTACGTTAGAATTGATTGTTAGATCTCGTGTATTCATGAATATTTCAATACATGAGCGCTATGAAGGGATTTAATTTCATTGTCTTTCATTGTTCATTGTCTTGATATAGGTTGCCCAGAAAATTAATCAAAAAACATTCATAATCCTTTCGGAATTTAGATTTTGTTCTGAGGGAATGGTAAAGGGTCATGTGGATTTCGCAAATTGCAGAATTTATTATTTCAGCAGCAAGATTCAGTGATTCGTCATGCAGCAAAGGATTCGAAATGGACTGTATCATTAGATGATTTCAATCTTTTAACTGTGATAGGGAGAGGTGAGGATTTTTTCTTATTTATGGTGAAGAGCATCCAGTATTATGATTTGATTAATGCCAGACTCTTAGTGAGAAATATGAAGATGTAAAACGAAAGAATTGATCCATAATATAATTTAGTATGCCGCTTTAGATTTCTGATTTTAATTTCTTGTCACTTCTAAAATCATAAACCAAATAAAGGAATTTTGGTTTCTCAGGTTCATATGCAAAAGTTATTCAAGCGGAGCATAAGAAGACTGGTACAGTATATGCAATTAAGATAATCAAAAAGCAAATGTTCAGTGATGATGAGGTGATTTCTTGAAGTTTTCGGATGATTTATGTTTCGTTTGAATCTTTTAATCAGGAGTAAGCGGCTTGACTTGAAATATTTAACAATGCATCTTTTAGGATATTGATTGGGTGCAAACAGAAAAATCGGTCTTCGAAACAGCTTCAAATCATCCGTTTCTTGTTGGACTCCATTCATGCTTTCAGGTCATGTTTATTTTCAGAGCGACTTTCTGTCTTGCTGTCTCCACTTTATAATTATGGAAAAATTTTTGTTACTAATTTATTCTTTTTTAGACTGATTCGCGATTATTTTTTGTCATTGAATTTGTACCTGGTGGTGATTTGATGTTCCATATGCAAAGACAACGTAAACTACCTGAGGATCATGCTAGGTAATCGATGATTTAGCAAATATTCATGGATGTTTTTAATCGTATAATTGATTGCTCTTTCAATTGAGATGAGTTTCAGGTTTTATTCTGCAGAAATAATAATAGCGTTGCATTTTCTACATTCTCGCGGTATAATTTATCGTGATTTGAAGTTGGATAATGTTCTAATAGATGCTGATGGACATATCAAGTTGACCGATTATGGAATGTGCAAGGTACTCAAATAAACCTTACGTCTCTTTGGTGCTTAAGCCGTTTATCAATTTAATCATCTAGATAACTGGAAATTCCATAGGCTTGTAAGGAATTTCTGGTTCATCGACAATTTCTACTGCAAATATAGTTTTTGGAGAACTGTTTTACTTGGAGATAGTTTTTGCGATGCACACTGTGTGGTAATAATTTTATGACAGAAGACAAACGTTTTAGTTTGATTTATTCTAGAAAGGAAGATCTTTTTTATTTTTGTAATTTTTGAAAACAAACTTTAGGAGAATATCGGACCGGGTGATGTTACTAGTACATTCTGTGGAACACCAAATTATATTGCTCCTGAAATTTTAAGAGGAGAGGATTACGGTGAGTTTCATGATCATTCAGTTTGATATTATTATTTTTTTCATGCCAATATTTTCACATTGGGTTAGACGTCCAGAATTTGCTCTTTTTTAAATGTTGCAGATCCAAAATTGTGGAATTAAAAACGTAAAAATCTTGGTTTTCTGATTTTAACTTATTATTAGTTTAGTTAAACCCGTGTTTTTGCTAATATTCAGAAATTAACATTTATTTTGTTAAAATATGCACCATCATCATAGATACAGAGATGTGCAAAGTATCTTTCATTCGTTTTCACTTGTGGAACTCATTTCTGTGATTTATATTTTGACTTTTGTGCTAGATAATGTACTATGAGCGGAAGAAAATTTCCTTTTTTACTTTATAAGCAGAATTTGTAAAGGGTAGTTTCCAGAAAACATTTATTTTATTTCTTTTCGTTAATAATAGTATTTTAATTATTCTCTCTCTTCTCTTAATATTTAAAATATGTGAAATGTAAATTTTATTTCAGGATTCAGCGTAGATTGGTGGGCACTTGGTGTACTGATGTATGAAATGATGGCTGGCCGTTCACCTTTTGACGTAGTTGGTATAGTTGGCGATGTAGAACAAAATACTGAAGATTACTTGTTCCAAATTATATTGGAGAAACAAATAAGGATTCCAAGGTCACTGTCAGTAAAGGCTGCCACTATACTGAAAGGTTTTTTGAATAAGGTTTGTTTATTCTTATTTTGTTAACTTTCACTACTTCATTATTTTGGTAACAGGAGAAAGCTAAGAATTTATATCTATCAAATTCAACTTTGATATCGTGTTTTTGATTTAAGTATTTTTGAAAGAGCTTTCAATGTATTATTTATTTATGTCTGGCTTGGCATATCTTGAATTTATTCTGAAAATTGTCTCTTGAAGGATCCAAGTGAACGACTAGGTTGTAGTTTAAATATCGAAGAAGCATTAGAAGAAATGAAAAATCATACGTTTTTCCGGACGAGTATCGATTGGGAATTGGTAAGTTAGTCTTGGAAACTGTGTGATTATCTGTTCCATTATTTCTAAATTACAAATAGTTGATGTCAAATGAGTTTTGTTTACTTATGAACGATGTTAGAAAAAAGCACTGACAGTAATTACTTATTGTTACAAACGAACATTGTTTTTTGTATTATGCATGTGAACAAATTTGTTTTTCCGCATATTTAAGTTTTATATTCTAATTATTAATAGTCGTCAGATAAATTTGTTGATGAAGTCTATGAATTTACAGTTAGAAGCACGACAAGTGACGCCCCCTTATAATCCATCCGTATCGAGCGATCGCGATTTGCAGCATTTCGATACTACATTCACAGATGAAGCTCCGAACTTAACACCAGATGATCCGTGAGTTTTCATAAATTTCATTTTTAGAATCGGTCCCCTATTGCTTCGTTTCATTACTTACTTAAGTTGTTTAAATTGACAGATTCGTAAAGGAGCTTTCGCAGGTTTCATTATCGCACATGTAATGCATATAGTTTATTATTGCAGTGAGCAGTTTTATTGTTGAAACTAAGGGTGGCGGTTTTGCTGTAAAAAGACATGTATGTGTGATCTAACTTCATTTTTCTGAAAATCGTTTGTTAATGAAAATAAACTGCAGTTGTTTTATATGACAAAGAGGAGTTAAGAAAGAGTCTGAGTATGTTTGAATGTCCGTTCTTTTATTTGATGTGTGCGTAACATTTTCCTTACGAACATTTGTGAGATGTTTTGTTTTCTTTCGCACGCACAAATAAAAAGAGCAAGTAATGTTGAAGAGAAGAATAATGGGGAAAAAGTACATTTAAACGGAGTGATAAATGATTTCAACTTTTTCTTCTATTATTTAAAAGGTGGTGTCTCTCTTTTTTTTCATTTTTTATTACTGACATAGGAAAAGGGAAATGAGATACTTGACGATGATGCAATTGGAATATTTATCAGAAAGTCAGGACAAATGTTTGCTATATATATATAGCAAACATTCTTCATTTATATAAATGTAAAAAATATAGAAGTGCAAAAAAGAGTGCAAAAAAGTTATCCATTATTTGGAACTGATGCAAGTAAGAGAGTAAAAGTGTGAAATTGTAATAGTTATTGATACTGAAAAGAAGGTTGGACGGATTACTAATATGTTTACGAATTACTTGCTTTTATTTTTTGGGCTTAAAATACGAAACTCATTCGTCTACTTCTTCAACCTCATCTCTGTGAAATTCACTGATCTTTGTCCTATACTTCTTTTTTTTTTTAAATTAGAATAATAAATATACGGCACTGTTCTTGGTAAAAAAAGAAGTCCAAATGTTTTACCATCTATCATCTGAGAGGAAGTAAATAAACTCATTACATTCTTCATTAGCAACAGTAGTAGAATTGAGCAGAAAAAGGAAGTAGATGAAATGATATGATATTGTTTGTATTTTAAAAGGATTGATGAAATTCGTTGAAAAAAGATTGCAGGAACGTCATCGAGAAGATTGATCAGACTGAATTCGAAGGTTTTGAATATATCAATCCACTACTGATGGCAAAAGAAGAAAGTGTTTAGAAGAATGAATGAATCGATGGCTAGAGGAAGTAATGGGTGAAATTGCTGTGAAGTACTTTCAGGCAAGATTTTAGTATTTCATTTTGTCAGTGCTTTTCTTGGACATAATTTCATATTTGAAGTATCTTCTGGAAAGTGAAGATTTGCTAACATCGCTGATGGAAATAAATCATGAGCTGGTTAGGAACGACGAAGTGAGAAAATTGAAAAATTGTTATTTTTTACCCACTAATCGTACTCAACATGGAAATTTTACTTCCTGAATAAACTTCGACTTTATGGTATTCAGTTTAATATAAAGAAGAATCAATATTTTATGTTTGAAGGAATATTTGTTTAAAATATTATAATTAACAATTTTTGCTTTAGATTATGTCATGATGATGTATCTTTGGGCTTAAAATTTGGCAATATCTGCTCGATTATGACTAGTAATAGTTACTGTATTTGTTTGTTATCCTATTGCAGTTTATTTTATTGCTAGAATAAAACATATTCCATAGGCAGTCGAATTTAGACAATTTTTCTGTCCTTCCTGTTTTACTGTATGGTTATTTATTTCATAATTTTATTTTCAGTTTCATCTTATTTAAAAGGGAAATTTGTAAATGGCAGATATTTCACTTACTGTGTGTTATTGGTTTCATTTTTTTTAGTAATTTTCTTTTTTTTGCATTTTCATTACGGCATATGCGGAATATAATGTGAAATGGATTATCTCAAGGTTCTGCCGGTAAATTTTTTAAATACGTAGCACTGGATCAGCAGTGGATCTGTATAAGCTTAATTCTGAAATGTTGATTTTAGATTTTAAGCTGAAATGAAAAAAAGATAGGGTACGTGAATGAGAGAAAAAATCGAAATTTATGTGATTAATCAAAAAGTTTGCTTCTTTCTGACCATTTGTTATAAATACAAAAAGGACTGAGCCTATTATTTATCATTATCAGGATCACCGTCATCGTATAGCAACAAATTTCTTTGTATCTTTTGTTGCTGTTATCCATGTTTATCATTTTTCAGTTCAACAAAATATACTGTTATGTTGACAAATGTTTTTCCAAGTACTCATGTAAGCTGATTTCTGTGTATTTCGAATTATGTTATTAAAATTTGTGTCTTATATGGTTAGGTATACAAGTCAATATTTCTTTAGAGAGTTTCAAAACTGAGACAGCCATTATACTGCTCTATGCTTGAAGTAATGGGAAGCTTTTCTAAGGAAATGCATGGTAAGAACTTGATTTATACAAATGTATGAAATAGAAGCGATTATTATGGGTACTGAACCGTTATTTCTTATTACTTGCTTAACCTTCTATGTGTGACTAATATAATTGATGTCAGACGTTAATAAAATTCCGATTACTTGTATTACATCGTGATCAAATTTGATTAAAAAGAATCAGTTTATCAAGTTTTTCATTGGACCTGCATAGGTGTGCACAAGCATTTACGCCAATTGAAAATAAATTCGAAGAATATTTGTAAAGAGCAGCATTGTCTTGGCATTTGTTGAAGCAAAGTCGGTCGGGTAGTGTGCGATGTGTATTTCTCGGGATACGCGCTTTATGGGTAATTAAAATTTGGGTGTGGTCCGAATTTTGTGAGAAAATTTTGTATACATGATGACCGGGAAGCGAGACAATAACAAACTTGATCACTTCTTTCTGATATTAAAAACTTCTACGTGATACATTATCGTTGTCAGAATCTTTTGATTTATTGTCCTTTTAAAAGTAAAGGACAGTGAATCAAACGTTCTTAACATGAAAAAAGAACGATGTTTGTCTCACTCGCGTCTGTTAATGCTGCTTCATCAATAATAATTTCTATCAGTTTTCCACAAAGCATCGAAATATTAAGTCAACAAAAAGTTCACAACCTTAAATTTACTTCATTGTTAATTTGAAGCAGTGGCATGATTAATATCTGCGTTTACATTGCTTCACACATTGTACTGAATGCGTACATACATAACTGTAATCTAGAAATCTCAAATATTCGTACTGATGACAAGAAGAAATTGAGGTTATGACATTAGTGGATACACACATCAGCTTTTCATCAGTCGTATTTGGTTTTAACTAGGAGGTTAATTAGGACGCGAGATGACAACTTGAGTATACCACTTACATTTCCGTAACCTACTTTCGTAATCAATCTTATTGTGGAAACTGCGAACACTCAGTCTTGCATTCGTTAAAATGCTCTATCTCCCAATCTTTTTTCATGCCAACAAATTCATCTATTAAATTTGCATATGCATCGATTTGCAAGACTAAACAACACTGCAATTACAACAGTCCCCGTGTTTATAGCAAATGTAAATTATGGCCTGTTAAAAGATGCCAAAGCAGTTCAGTAAATGCTTGTAAAGGATGAGTTAAACATGATTTAGCATAGTACTCTAATAAAAATAGGAAGAGAAGAATCAGTCTATTGAGATTATATGCTATTAAATTGCAAGCAAGTTTTTACTAAGATAACAGCTGCTTACAATTAATTATCATTGATATATTACAAACGAAAGTAATCATTTTTTAAAATTTAATGCTTAGAATGTTCATTTCGTTATGGGTAAATATATTTTCAGTCAAAATGAACGAGGTGAAGTAAACAGCAAAGAAAAATGGAATTTTAGCTAGGAGTGGAGGGTTAATTGGTTGCAGAAATGAAAGCTAGCATGTAAAGCTGTTTGCAAAAGTTATTTATTTCTTACGATCTTTAATAACAAATAATGCAGTTATGCTTCAGTCTGTATTAAGCTACTACAACTAATTCATGTCAGTTCTCTTCAGTTTATTGGATTACCAATTAAAAAATAATGAAAATGGTACTTCTGATGCCAAATAAACAGGTGAATTATTGCAATTATTGGTTGCAACATTTTCAGAAAGATTTTTATTAAAGAAACTGTAATATCCAATTGTAATGAAAGTTTCTTTCATCTTCAAGTCAATTACAAGCATAAGTGATTTCATATGCTTAATGAATTGGGATAATCACCAACTTATTTTTTAATATCTGATAACTTTCTCAAGCAGCAAAGATAATAATAATTGTTGATGGTTACATTAATGATCATGAGAATTTTGTTCTACATATATTTTACTCATATCAGTGCTTATCGATTGAAATATTTGATCAGCACATTCAATGCATCATGCGCTGCCATTTAATGCCACTTCGTACGAAAATCATAAAAATGGAATCGGGAGAAAAGAGTGACAATCTGTTTTCGCCCTATTTTGACAAAGATGGTACTGAGTAGTACGTAACAGACCAGATAGGCTCCAGCAATCTGTAATCTACCAAGAACTCCGTGAAACATGAAGTGCAGTGAAGTAGAGTGAACCTACACTCGGACAGGTTGCAATTTACAACCGAATTCATAAATATGCCAGTAAGTTTAAAACAGATAATGCAATTCTGTGCCATCACCCTACCTTATTCAGAAAGTCAACCAAACTCCAGCGACGAGACTTACTCAAATGAAATCGTCATTAGTACTTCAATTTTTCTGCTTTCTGAAATGTCACTCATAACCACTTTTTCTACAACCATTTCTACAACAGGGATTTTTTCACAATTATCACCAGATGTGAAACAACACGATTTAATGATCTTTTATTATTTAATTATATGTTACAATAAAATGAGATTTTATAAAGAAATTTTCTGATCACAAACAATAATAATAGAGTTCATCACAAATTACGATTATAAATTATATAATACATATCTTAAAACTTTGAAAGTGAGAAAGTGCTATATGTTAACAACACGATATGCTGCACCAATTCATGAATTAAAACAATACAGTACAACATTACAATAAACTATAGCTAAAATCATCAATCACAACTACTAGCAACTGTCAGCGACAGAGGGACAGTAGCCATAAAAACAGAAATGCGGTGCAGTACTTACAATAAATAAATGCAAACGAATAAAAAATAAATTTGTGAGAGTGAGACTGTTAAAATGTACAGAAATACAAAAAAAAAATTTTTTTACCAGAAAATAAATCAAATTCAGTTGAGCAGACTGAGTTGAAGTGAATTGAGTTGGAGTTGAGTAGAATCGACATGAATTATATTGAGTTGTCTTGAATTCGGTTCATGCGAAGTAAAAAACTGGATTAAAATGAGCCATGATGATCTGGATTCAATTCAGCTGAGCAGATCTTGATTGATGAATTGGTTGCGTGATTGCGACGAATTATCGTTAAATGAGACATTATATCATTCATGTGATACACATCACGTGTAGTTCTATCGTAACTGAGTTGGAATCGCGCTGATTTTGGATAACGTGAGATATCTGGTCAAGTTAAAATCCAATCTAGTGATTCACATTAGGTGTCAATAGCAAAATACAGCAAGCATTGGTGATGAAAACTTTTCATCTTGCCTCAATAACATGAAACTTCGGGAGCAAGCGACAAAAATTTGATATCAGCAGCAGAATCTGAATCGAAACTAATGATGTTGTTCCAATCTTCAGGAGCAAGCATTTGCAAATTCGTGTTCATGGAATCCGGGTAGTAAACAAAGGCAAGCTCCAATCCTTCGAAATGAGGAGCAAACAACGTAAAGCTCCTATCCTTCGAGCATGTAGTAATTAATTCTGAATCGCGATGAACCATGCGGTATCAATCTCACGTAACTTGAGGGGCAAGCAAAAATTATGTCGGTAGTTAAGACGCCGTTTCCACGATGTTTTCTGAATCGAAATTAATGATGATGTTCCAATCTTTAGGAGTAACTTCAGGAGCAAGCAGTCACAAACTCGTGTTCATGGAATCCCAGTAGAAAACAAAGGCAAGCTCCAATCCTTCGAAATCTCAGGAGCAAGCAACGTAAAGCTCCTATCCTTCGAACTTGAGGAGCAAGCAATGGCAAGCTTCAATCCATGAAACTTCCGGAGCAAGCGACGGCAAGCTCCTCCAACCCATGAAACTTCCGGAGCAAGCGACGGCAAGCTCCTCCAATCCATGAAACTTCCGGAGCAAGCGGCGGCAAGCTCCTCCAATCCATGAAACTTCCGGAGCAAGCAATGGCGCCAATCCATGAAACTTCAGGAGCAAGCAGCGGCGCCAATCCATGAAACTTCAGGAGCAAGCAACGGCGCCAATCCACGAAACTTCCGGAGCAAGCAACGGCAAACTCCGGAACTTCAAGAGCAACGATAAGCTCTACTCCATGAAACTTCAGGAGCAAGCGATGGCAGAGGAGCTGCAGCCTACTCCTACGAGAGTTAGGTCAGTAAGTTGCAACAAACAAGGTGCCCCTAGCTACCCGAGAGCTTAGGAGCACACGCAATCACAATAGCACTAATGGAGCGCACACCGCGAGGCAACTAATTACATGTAAGCACAGCGCGTGAGAGCAGACATCCCGTGCAGCCTGCGTGTCTCCCTTCTTCTCTTTCTGCACGAAATCATTAGTCTGCTCTCACGCTCTAACCGACTTATGTTATATTAATGGTATGGACAGGATAGACAAAATGTTCTCTTCATTTCCCACACAACTTGCCCTCTCCTTTTTCTTTTCCGTCTGTCTATGAGCGCGAGTTTGTCTAGTATGTCTACCTGCCTGCATTGCGTCGCATGTGTGTAAGTATCTGTAAATGTCTACATGTCAACATGGCAAATATTAACACCAGATTGTTAGATGCAGACATACCGCCGTCTAGTCATCCTTTTATGTATTTCCCATAGTTCCACCTCTCTATAGATGTATTAACATGATAAGTTCAGACATTCATGGACATGCATAGACACGCATGTAATTGTGTGAGGAGAGAAAAAGGCATAGCTGCAAGGCATATCAGCAAGAGGTATCTTTTTATTCTCTTTGTCTTCTGTTTCTCTTTTGCTGCCATTGTCTCAAGATGAGTAAGTGCGCACTACCCGAGAGGGACGGCAGAGAAGAGGCAGCATAAACATAACATAGAGCGACCCATTGCGTATGTGTGAGTATGTGTATGAGCGTGCGCGCATTTGTCCATGTAGGATCAGTGTTGTGTGTGTCTCAGCGATAACTTGCATCCTTGCGTTGTCAACCTTAACGTCTCAGTGTGCAACTAGTGGATAGTCAAGTGTAGGGTTGGTTAATGATGGTACTAGTGAAGGGACGTGAAACGGCATGTGAAACGAAGTGAAGCAAACAGAAAGGAAAAAGGGACGTGTGTGCGGAAAACGTTTCACGTTTACGTGATCGGTAGGAGGTAGTTAACAAGTCTCTTACTTGCTTATTTGCTTGCAAAGTATTGAGCATTTCTTGTTAGGAACAGAAAAACAGGGAGAAAGGAGTGTGAGTGATAGTTTCTGTGAACAACAGGCAATGATGCTTTCGGTAGATCGACAGTCGGAAGACGATGTATTGCTAGAGGAGCTATCTTTACGACTACGTGGAGTGATTCCAGTACAGCCAAATCCGTTGCTTGCAGCGTCAGATCACGCATCATGCAGTTTGAAGAGCACTCGATTGAACGGTCATCTCATCTACTGTTTCGTAATTGGCGGCGAATGCAGACTATGTTTTCCACAAATAATCAGCGTGGTATTGCATGGAGTAGCAATGAGTGACATCAACGAGCTTTTTGTCAGCTTGAATATACACATTTCTGTTGCTAGTCATCAGCAACTAGACACACTGAAGTTAGCTGGTGTTATGCCAATGACCGCTGTTAGCTGTGGTTTAGTGACCAAAAGTGATGCAGAACGCTTAGTTGCCCAGTTATTGCCACAACGAAGTGGGCATCGACTAAATGTAGATATATTACTACCAAGTGCGAGTGTCAAGGATGCAATTCCTGTTGTACATGACTGTTTTGGTGGTTGTTGTGGAACATTGATTCCATCATTGCCAATTGAAGAAAGAATTGAATGCAGTGAGTGCAAGTATCTATTTACTGGTGAAAAATTTGTCTCTCATACTCATTCTGCACGCCAACTACCGCATATTTGCCATTGGGGATTTGATTCGTCTAACTGGCGACATTATCTACACTTGCCGGAATCAGCAGAGCATGACTTGAAAGCATTGCGCAAACTTGACTTATACAAATATCCTTCACATCTTGGCAAGCGATCTGCATCTGATGATTTGGCTGTAAGTCATTTTTATCTTCTTTTTGCATTTCATTCTTGCACTTTCAATTTTACTATGATTATTCTCTAGCTTGTTAGCAAATGAAAAACTTTTAATTGAAAACAGTTTTTACAATTTACGTATACGTTCATGTTTGATCGATTTGCACAGGACTCGGAAAATGAATGGTTGAATTGATTGTGATTTAAGTGTGCGTTTTATTTCGTTTACTTTATTAAGCTCTCTATTTAAATAGGTCATTGATCAATGATTTGTGATTATTGAACAGTGATCTGTATATGCTGAATAGAAATTGACCATGTAATCGATTGGAAGTAGTAGTTAGTTTTGACATTTAGCCACATTAAAACAAAAGATTTATTTTCACTTTTCAAACAAAGAGAAAAAACATTCATTTCGTGATTATCAGTTCGAATTTTTGAAAAATGGTACGAACATATAGACTTCGTTGTGTATCTTTATTGCAGGTAGCAAAGGAATATTTCACAATGTAATTAGTAATTTAAACTAGATTTTTAAACCTCCCAATTAAACTTGGTCTTTTCCTATCGAAATTTCTTTAATTTGTAGTAATGACTGACATTGAAACGATGAAAGAAGTTAAAAATGTAGTATAAATTGGGAGTACCTGAGAATCATTCTTATTTCTAAGAAATAATAGAGCTGTCAAGTCTCTTATGTTATTTTCTGAGTAGAATGTATTTTGTAGGTAAGAGAGAAAACTCTTTACCATATAAATTTGATAACATACGATGGAGACCGTTTCTTGGCATTGATAACAGACGCTGAGACGTTAACAGTTTGATAACAGAGTTAATATGTGTTTATTTTTTCTTATTCCTCAACCATTGTTGAATTGAAGGGGCAAGCTTAAGCAAGGTAGGATCGTAGAAAAAAAAAGTGAAAGGAATAGATATGGTTTTTTTTTCGATAATAATGTTACTTTTTCATAGTGGTCTATCATTTCACTTTTCAATAAACATGTTGGTTGATTGGCAGAAAATTACAGTAGTAGTAGGCGTAGTAAGGCATCAGCAATCTATCGAAAAGACTGAATAGTATATTCATGAATCTCTGACATGAAAATTAGTGGTAAAATTGATATTAGCATGTGACATGGTATCATGAAGCATTGAGCTTGTGCTTATGATTCTAAACTTTGAAATGTGTGGTTTCTTCTCCTCAAGTGCACCTCTGTATCACTGTCAATTAGTTGAAAGAGTACATTAGTTATTGAATGAGAACTTACACTCACTGTGCTTCAGTTGTCATACAAGTTGATCTTTTCTTTTATTATAGTAACTGCCTTTTCTGTAACCTGTTTTTTTTTTCAAAACAAATGGCGAAATACTTCCAAGTTCTATTGTTTTTTAAAATCGCAAGCTCAAATGGCCTTAAAATTTTTTAACGCGCATTAAATGAAGCAGCTTAAATATATGATTTGAGACTCAGTTCGCTGATCATCACTTAGATTACCGAAGCTGTTCCTTGTCCTAATATTAGTTTTTTAATTACCGTTATTGATTATTATTATTATTATTATTATTATTATTATTATTATTATTGAAGCAGTTATAGTGAATCATTTTTGTTCTAATAATGAAGTGGATTTTAAAACGACTCATTTACAAAGAGTTCCCAATTTCCTTTTTCAGCACTCTTCTCTCGTTATCGAGGTTTCGACAGTCTATGAATGATTTACTTTTCTTTTTTTAAATTGTCTAATCAAATTTCATCGTTAAATGCTCAACATTGTTCTTCATTATTTCCATGGGGAATTGTAGTTTTCAATTTCTATTGCAAAATATTCATTCGTTATCAGGGAATTTCTGAATAAATAAGAAGCACTTACATGAGTGCGAAGAAATTTTATGTTAAATTTTTTGCACTTACATAGCTCATTTTTATTTTTAAAAAAACTTACGTAAAGTTTTCATGTTTACAATATACACTTTTCAGAGCCAGGGATTTTCAAGATCGTAAAATATTGTTCAGTTTTTGTAAAGGAAGAATGTTGAAAGGACTTAGGCGATAAAGTCTGGGAAGGCAAATACAGCAGACTAGTCATTTTAGTAGATACCAAGTAATTAAATTAAAGTAAAGATGAAATGAGTGTTAAAATAAAGTAAGGATGAAGTGAATGTTGAAGAAAAAAATTGAGAAATATAAAAAACCTAAGCCTCAAAAGATGGCCATGCTGAACATCACTTTCGATTTGTAATGCATACTAGTCACTTCGAACTCTACCAAAAGATTAGTAATAGTATTTTTGTATTATAAGATGTTTCGCAGTGAAAATAAAGTGGTTTTAAATAATGCAAAGTCATTTCTTGGTATCAAACCATAAAAAGGAGGAATCTGAAGATATATATATGATTGACATTCTATTAGGTGATAGGTGGATGTTGGAGTTTGGAGTATAATATCACAATTCTCTTATCATGCCAAAAATGTACATGTCTTAATCTATTTGTAAAAAACGAATTTCATGATTTCTTTTTGCTGTTTCCGCAAGTGATTATCAGTTAATTATTGATGTAGAGCATTACAAATTTTTCGATCAAAACTGAGTTTCTAAAGATTGTGATACTCACATATTGAGTAAAATTGAATTCCAAACATGTTAAGAATAAATATTGACTGGTACGTAATTTTTTGGTGAATGAATAGAGATTTATTTTCTTTTATTTATTCATTCATTTTCTAACAGTTTTAGACTCATGAAAATGCAGTGTGCTCGAAATTGGCCAGTTTAATGCCAAGGATTGAGGTCGAACCTAAATCTGGAAAAAATGATGAGAAGCTTGCAAATTCTGAAATTTCTACTGTATCATCATCATCAGCATATGATAATGATAGTAATGTAGTGAAATCATCAAGTGCACCTTCCACTATCATGTCAAATACCGCGGATCAAGGTGCATTCACGTTACCTTTATCTGTGTTTGGTGCAGCCAATTGCTGCCCAGGTCCCTCACTTGGTATGCTACCGGTACCAAACTCCCATCTACATTCTTTACTTGCTTTGCACCTAGCTGCCTCTCAGTTACCTCTGTCGGAAATGTTAAAGGTTCCGTTTTTGGCAAATCCTTCGGTTACGACAACTGATATTCAGTCCAAACTGGATTCTAATGCTACAGTCTATAAGTCATTTGCCAATGAACCAGTACTTCACACTGGCAGTAAAATAAATGATCTGTTGAAAGTAGATGAGAATGGCCTTGTTGGCGGTAAAAAGTCGCCATCACCACTTTTGCACTCGTTTTCAACTATGACGACGTCAGATTTAACTTCGGGTATTACAAATAAAACAGGTATTACTACATTTTGGTAGTGTTTCCTCCCCCACTATTTGCTTTTATTTTTAGGATTTTATCTGTACAAATTTATTTTTTGAAGTAAAAGCTTTTAAGTTCTTTTTCAGGATTGTCGCTAGAAAATCTGCTGGAGGAAACGGTGAAAGAGCCCACTTTATCTATTGCTAAATCGTTAGTAGCGGAATTTAAACTTGAAAAAGATTTGTTGCACCTTCAAAATGGACAGTTACGTCGAGAAAATACCTTGTTACGTAGCGCACTTGCAAATAGTGCAGTTTTGGTTGGTTTAAAAGGCTTAATTTCAGCTAACCTACCAATTTCATAAAATAGTATGGATAAAGCAGTTTGAAATTAGTTCTTTCCATCTAATCACCTACCTGATTTTTGTCAGTGATTCGTTTGTTACTTCTTTTTGTTTCTCCATATTATATCTGATTGTTTTATCTGGATATCGTGTGTTAGTGATGGTTTGGAGGAGAAAATGTTATAAATATAGAATCTTGAAGAAAATTCTTCCACGAAATTTATTTGTTAATCATGTCCTTCAAAAAATCCACTCTTGTTAAATAAAAGGAATTTACATGATTTCAAACAATATGGATTATGTTTGAATTAATTTTGTAGTTTTTTTCTACTTTAATTTTTATCTTGACAAGATTCCCTGTGGTTATAGTAAAAGCTACCAAGTTGATTCGGATATTCCAAGAATAAAATATGGTTTCTGGCCTCCTATTTAACAAGCAGTGTTTTTTTTTCATTATAATGTTATCATTTTAGTCCGTGCTGCCGAGATCTCGTCTTGTATTATATATGGGTTTGCAGGCAGGCTAAGGTCGGCAGTGCCCCGATTGTTTAAAAAATTGCTTTTGTTGTATTCTCTTTTGAAAATATGTCATGTCATTTTGTTATTTATGAGTAATAACACTAGTTGTTCAACAATTTATACTCTACAAAATTGTTCTGTTTGGGTATATACTTTCGTCTCTGGGATAGCATTTTTTGGTTTTTGTTTTTGTTCAGTCACAGCTGTTCTGCTTATTGCATTAGCTAAACCGTCGTTTAGGTCAATTACGGATATTTTCGCCACATGTTCATATTATTTCTGTAATATAGTGGGGATATTATTATTGTGAGAAATATAGAGCTAGAAAATATTTTATTAATTTTATTAGACTAATGAGAAGTACTAGACCATTAAGAATTCTGATCATAAAAGTACACAAAGTGATTTGATTATCAAATGGAACTTGTTAAGATTTCTGTGCATAGGAAATTCCAATTATTATATATATATATAATGATTGGGATTTCATATATATCTAAACTTTACAAATTTTTACTTAGTGAACTTTCATGAGATACTTTGGCCTAAGTTTGTCTTGCTTAGCTCTTCTAGGATTTCTATTGTTGGCTGGAATCAGATGACTATTCGTTCCACGTTTTTTTTGCAGTTAACATGCTCTCATTGCCGGTGCCAGATTGCTGGGTTTTTTTTGTTCTCAAGACCTCCTGAAAAATGTTCAAATTCTGATAACTTAACTGAGGTGATCACTTTTGGTATATGTAAAAAGGTTTAAGTTTGTTTCTCTTAAGCAGTGCATTAAAACTTATCTTCATATGGTGAGACATAAACTTTATATTTCACACATTTCTCTTTCAGTGCCGTTATGTTGAGATGCATTTGTACAGAGATTAAGAGTGATGTACCATTTCTTTGCACTTGTGGAATTTGGTTAACAAGATTTTTTTTGCCGTCTATACTGTAATTGTTAATTTTGCTATCTTTTCTGAGTACTCTGAAATATTTGTAATTTGTCACATATATATTATTCAAAATATTATCTCAAAATAGCATTTACTTTGCTTTGTTTAAAAGTGTTATTCAGCAAGTTAAATGGGTAAGAAATTACCTCCATTGTTGATTTCTTGACTTGTATAGTTGGAATTTGTTTGTGATAAATAGTGTAGCCTTGTAATAAAAATTCCAGTAGATCGTGTGAAAAGAATTTTGTTATTCAGAAGTGCTGTCTTGACTTAGCCAAATTTTCATGCAAGCACAGCTTCGGCGTAAATAGCACTTGGCAGATTTTGCTGTGGTTTGACTTAGTGATATCGTATTTGCATAAAATGTATACATTCTTATCTCTAACAAAGAGAGATATCAATTATCATTTGAGGGTAATTGCTTTGAATATAGTTGAGTGATTGAAAATCGGGAGATACTAGAAGTTGGGTTCTATAGTTATGTATCATTGGTAGTAAGATTATATGAAGAGATTCTACATTTCTCAAGTGGAAGGCAAGTTGATACTAAAAACATTGTCTGCTCATTTCACCTGTTATTCTGAGAGAACGATGCCTAAGAATTGCTTCCTAAATGTTCTTGTGACGCTGTATGCTTTTGTTTTCTCTTTGTTAAACAGCATGCTGCATCTTTTAAGTGCTGCCAAAATGCCAAATTTACACTGTCAATTACTTGTAGATTTAATTACCTTCCCAATCACCAATCCAACATAAGACGCAAGTTTCTCCCATTTGCCACTAGAAAGCTACCCCAAGTCCAAACCTTCCTATTGTATTCGTGAAACAAGCCGTTGTAATTTACAGTGTAGTCCTCTGGGTGTGTTTCATTCCCATACAGCACGGCTTAAACGCACACGACACATGAATTGCTTGGAATTGCATAGAAACTGTACAAACTTCTTCCTTACAGCTACTCATTTGAGGTATTGTGCAAGCAGTCCAGTTTTGCGGTCGTGTCTACTCACTCTTCTAGTCATCTGTGGTCTCGACTACACGTGTAACTTTCACAAGTGATTTTGTTGGTACCGGCGAGTCCAGTACTTATGCAGCATGTCCAAACTTGGTTTTGGTCAGGAAAAAGTTGAAGAACTATTTATTGGCCTTCTCTAACACTCTAATAGTTAATTACCATATGAAAAGTGATATGCAACGTCATGTATTTATGTACGCGAAAGCTAGCAGGTATTCCACCTCATGTTATGACAGTACCTTGCTACCGTATCACGTGACATCTTATAGCTAAATGCTATCATTTTTTGAGAAGTTCAGTAATCTGAACCACAAATGCTAGCTTTTTATCTAATACATGAAGATAAACGTGGAGTTACATGTACATCAAGGGAATCCCATTTAAAATGAGTATAAAACATATAAACTATTAAAAGCTACATTATAATTATCCAAACAAGTTGACTGCACCAACCTGAGTAACTGAAATTCCAGAAATTCCCAAAGAGCGCAGTACCAACTTTGTATTAGTTTAAAACACATTCCTGGAAGATTACAATCTTCTAGGGTTAAATTCACAAGTATGTTATAAAAATCATTTTTTCATATTAAACAAGCAATATCAATATTAAAATTTTGGTCCATAACGGCGCCAATACGAGATCACCAACACATTTTGCCTCTCCAAACAGGAACGTTCGACGAAGCGATATTTGATTCAGTCATTCTATAATCTAAAATAGTTCTGCATGATCCCAAATGTGTTAAACACTACATCACCACTTTAAATTTTTTTTTTTGCAAACCTAAAACATCAAAACAGACCTCGTTGGAGCGAATCACTTGATTTCTTATTCCTTCGCTTTCCTTCCGTTGAAACCTGCAAACTGCTTGTTGGAGTTCAAACCAAATAAAAAAGATGTCATGCAGTAACAATTCTTCATTAGACACCGATATTGATGAATCCCAGATATTCTTAAGTATGAATAAGTTAGAAAAAAGTACCTCATTGAACACTGGAAAACCCAACTCAACATGCGAAGAACCTGGAGCAGAGTTGAAGGCACACAAATCAGTGTTCAGATTTGCATCATACGATCTGCTACTATACGATCTGCTGCTACTGCTATCGGATTCTCGAGTGCTGAGTCTTTGATTATCAAATAGTCTAATTAGTTTATCAAAAGCAATGTCCCGTTGCTCTGCTAACGCTTTTTCTTTCTTCCATCTCCCTTTTACGCTATTTTGCAACCTCTCCCTTCTTTCAGCTGCTCGTGACGACATTCCAGGATGAATGGTAACTTCTGTACGTGATGAATGGTAACTTCTGAACGGCATAGAAGTCTTAGAAGGAGCGTCTTTACTCAATCTTGATTTCTCTCGTGACGTCTGAAAAAACATAATTCAAAGCAAGATATTTTACAAGGGTGAATTTCACTACTAAATTGTTGATTCATTAAAAACAATAAGTCAACTTAGCTTAGCTTGTTTTACCTTATTATTTCTGCGCATGGAAGCTTCTGAACTACTGTTTTGCGACCGCCTTTCCCCATTCCATAATGCTGTATCCCTTCTAATCATCGTGTTCCTTTCAAACGTTGTCGGAAATGAAGACAAATTTTGATTATTCGATCTACAGCTTTGCCAAGAATAACTCGAGATCGGAGCTCCAAGCATATTGTTTTCCGAATGTAATGCTTCTTTTTCATTCTTCATAGAAGACGCCTGCAACGATATGAGTTCATTATTAAATATAATATCTCTAAGATTACTTGAGGGTAAAAAGTCTAGAAAACACACCAAATTGGCTTCACAACGAAAATACTGCGTAAAAAGAAAATACAACTATAAGTAGAAGATAATCAACTTGCTCATTAAAACACAACGCACTACTCAAAAACAGTGAAGCACGGAAAAACAAAATAACACCACGACTTGAAAATTTACAATATTGAAACAAAAAAAACAAGGAAAAAAGAAATTTAAAACTCACAAACTTATCATTGCTATGAAGTAATCTTTTATTTCCATGTATCACTGCTTTACCAAACTGCTCGCCTGTGAAGTGTTTATGCATGTTTTCACTTGAAAACTCACGATTAATTTCTCCTGGTTTCTTAGCACGTTCATTTGATTTCATCCCGCTTCGTACTCTCATTCCATGGGTCAAATTAATTAAAGCACAGGGCGGCAGTTTTGCTCCAGTGTTCTTACTACCCCTACGATAGTATGTTTCAAAAAACTTGAAAAAAATTTAAAATTTATGAAAACAAATTTTACGAAAATGAGCAGGAAGTTTGCATTCCTAACGTTTTACTAGAGCTCGATCAATTTTGTATCAAAGATCAAGGAATAGTAGATATCTAACAACTTCATTTAACAGTCAATGAGTATGTACAACTTCATGCTCGTGAGATAAATATAACTCGATCCTCAGTATTGTATCAGAAGACCCTGAGGACTTGCATGACACTGCAACAAGAGCTCAAAGAAAGTGAAAAGTTGAAGATATATGAGCTGAAATGTACCGAATAGCTTTGCCACCAAAAAATGGCTTATCAAATAACACTTCAATTCTGCTCTTTTCTTCAGCTTCATGAACCCCAATCACAGTACCAAATTCACCACATGGTGCGGTCCTCAGCTTTCTAACGCAAACGACTCGATCTAGCAATTGAAACTGAACGTTTCGATCTGGCATAATATCACCTTTGCTTAATTCCTCCTGAAGTAATTTCTTGATTAATTAAAGAAAGAAAAATAAAACTTTGTAAACACATTCTTTCCTTTACCTCCCATCTTTATATGACTGGTAACTGTTTTCGTAATTTGCAGAGCTAATAAGTTAGTAAAAACACACCATAAAAAGGACTCGCGGTTTTACCATCAAACGCCGAAAAGTTTTTTTCAGCGGAATATCTTGAAGTTTTCGTATTTGTTTTTCCACTTCTTTTATAGCTCGAGAATCCACAAAGAAAGTATTAGTTGATTCAAGAGGATCTTTCGACAAAGTTTCGGATAAAAACTTTTTCAAACCTAAAATACATGTACTGAATATTGCTCATAATTTATTTAGCTCACCATTAATATCATGCAGGATGTCGGATTGGCATATTCTTTAGATATAAAAATTTGAGATGACAACGAAACGAACAGATTTGCAGAAATTGGAATAAATGGTATCAATGAGAAAAGAGAAGAAATTTTAAAATAAACAGTGTAGCATAAGCACGAAAAATGAAATATCAAAACTGCCTTCAAACCTTCAAACTTCGCTTTCCTTTCATGTTCCGTGTATTTGGCAAATACTTCTTCCATGGATATACACTGCTTGAATTCACTAGATTCAAGATAACTGAATATTTCAGGATAACTGCAAAATTCATTTTGCAATCAAAGGGATGTTTAGAGTACTTTTAGATAATTGTGTAACGATACTTCATCGCTATCTTTGATAAGCAACTTGTACTTCTATTCTTATTCACCAGTCTGTCTCATCCTATTTTTTCTTTTGAAGCTTATCATCAATCGTTAGAACTGCAAACAAATCTGATCAAACATAATATATAAATGAAAAACAAAATAAGCAATACTTCATTTTGTATTTTTGAATAGTTTGCATCGCATTTGATGAATATAACCAATAACCTTCTGGAGAACGGCGCATGAAATCTAGCATCTAAACATCATTAAAGTCATTTGTAAATCATTACATTATATAAAATGTAAAAGTATGAGGATGAGTGATGAACTGAAACGTACAGACATATTTCTTTTTGAAAGCTTAAACTGAAGACCGATATTGACTTGGTTGTAAAGTCTACTTTTAGATGATTCATTGTCAGATTTATTTAACGTAGCGAAGAGAAATCCTGTTATACGACCAAGAGCACTGGCAGTTACTATAAAAATTCAGTGTAAGGACCAAAATTAACCAAGGAAACAATGAACGGAATCAAAATAATGTTTTATAAAGAAGCAAAAATGTAAATATGTAATTAAATAAACAAGATGGTTTCAGAAATTCCATAAAATAAAAAATTATGTAACTACGATTATCGCTATTTAATTCTTGAGTCAATGTATATTTTCAAAAAAATTTATGCAATCAAGCAGTATTAGCCCATTGGGAAAATTATTTTTGATATTTTTAACTCTGAAAGGTGTCTGTATAAAATATAGAGGTGCAACACTAGAAGGAAAGATTTTTAGACTGATCTGTATTACAACTCAGAAATAAATTGGTTATTTCAAAGTCTATACATTTTTTTTTCTGAACATAGATGACAGTTTTCACACGAAAAATTAAGAAAATGCTACTGCAATGTATAATCAAGATGCCCAAAAAAGTTTAAGCTCCAAATTAAAAAAAACAAAACCTACTTCGCAAAAATTTCGAAACTTCAAATACATTGTACCATTTCAGGCTGTACTTATTATAATTCTCTATCAAATAATCAAAGCAAACATTTGAGGTTGACGTGATAGAACAAGAAACAAGAAGCATCTCTATAAATGAGGACAAAAATAATAAGCTATAAGTGAAAATGTGTGCATGACGAATCTGATAATCTTATAGTGTTTTGATAAAGTAAAATATTCTTACTTTTTTCATTCAAACAATTTCTAGTGATAACACCAGGAAAACCATAATATCTGCTTGCAGGCGTACAAATGAAAACTATTTTGCCGATCGAATACGCTTCCTTCAGAGAGAGAGCCATATCCCAATTCTCTAATGTATTCTAAGCAAAAATAAACAGTTCTAACATTATGATTTCTTGTTAATACTTAAAAAATTATGCATGAGCTGGATCATGATAACAAATTTTCCTCCATGATTGCTGCTGCACCACATAGAAATTATGTCTTATTACAAGTCAAATAAATATAAATCACATGAATTAGCATCAAATTTAGAAATAAAAATGAACTGACCTGAACTACAAGACCTAGTGAAACAGGAACAGTATCCTGAACATCAGGATAAAACCACTCTGTCACCATGTTTTGCCCATCGAAAAATTTTCGTGAACCGAATGCAATTTTAACTATGACTATACCCTTGGGTTCTCGCACACAAATGCCGCGCTTTTCATATTCACTACAAGATTAAAAAAAATATATGACTAAAGTTGACATGCAACACAAACTGAAGATAGTAATCGACTAGATAATGCATTCGCAAGCTTAGTAGTTGAAACTTTAGAATACACAAACAAAAGTCAACTTTTTGTGGGCGATGGTGCGGTATGTTTCAAATTGGTTAAAATCCTTCTCTGAGAGATCTTCACAGACTAACTGATGCTCACTTGTTTTGCTATATCTAGAAACCAACAACATTTATAACACATAAACCACAAAACACAGAATAAGCAAAAAACAGCTGTTTGGTCTTTTTAAGATGTACTACAAACAACCTAGTCCAATCTCTATAACTTGAAGAGAACTGAACATGAAAGAAATTCGAAATGCAAAAAAAAAACTTTTTGCCACTCGTCCACAGCTCACACACCAGAGCTTTCTGAAGAAGCGGCCAATTCACATGAACCTCTGCTCCGATCAACTTAAGAGCTAATTTAGAAGTATCCTGAAGCAAGTTTCAGGTTAGTTTCTGTTGTATTATAGCAAAAGTTAAAGATTTTATTATAAATCAAACTGTTTACTGAAACCGCAAAAAGTTATCCTTCGATTAACTAGCAGTGTTTCATACATTTTACGGATAACAAGCTTATTACACCAGCATTACTGGCAACTGCACAAAACTAAAGATAACATTTTGATGAAATTTGAAAAATTCACGATCTATTCGTAGAAATATATGAAATTAACCTCTGGAAAATCAGGCCTGCTATCAATGTTGATAATCAATGACTGATTTTTGGACGGTTGCTGGAAGACTCTGATATCCGCAAAAAGAAGCTCTGCCCTATGACACATATGCGTCATCACAGGAAAACCGGGAAAGACCACACCCAATTTGACTCCAGGCAGCATACCATGAACTACAACATTGCGTGGTATGCGAAATTGGTCCATTCCAATAGCTTCTACCCTTCAACAAACATGGAATATAATGAAAACTAGAAGAACTTCAGGATACTAAAGAATAAAAGCCGCATCTCATCCTACACGATAAACTCGACGTTACAAAAAAACCTAATGAACTCACTTGACGCTACATTCTCCGATATCAGGGAAAACACTAGGATATGAGGATTTCAAATAATGTGACGACACCTGGTCATATGTAAATAGTAGATGAGGGCCATGTCTGTTCCTTCGCTGCTCCTTTAATAGGCCTTTTTATTATTTTCAAGTGATGAAGCTAATTTTGTCAAGTAAGGCACAAAACGAAACGACAACCTCACTGTTTAAAAATGGCAGTTTCGTAGCAACGGCTTCTAGAAGGCGATTTTCTTCAATAAATGGTATCAGAACTACTGCTTCCCATTCATTCTTTTTTCCATTCAAATCAGTATTGAATTCTTCAGGATAAAAGTCAATGATTGGACTCGATGGGTCACTCATTAATTCCTTAATATTGTCTTAATGCTATCACATGAATAAAACGTTTTAAGATAAATAGAATTTTGTTAAATAATTAGTGGTACGAACCCCTAACATAACTAGTCACACAATATTAAAAAATAAATTTCCTTCAGAGCAAAACTAGTCCATATCACAGGACAGAACTGTATAAACAAACTTACTAAAATCAAAAAGAAAAAAATTTTTACCTGAAAAGGTACTGGTAAACAATCTGAACTTGATGCCGGTAAAACGGCTAACAACTGTTCAAATGGAAGAAATGGTTTACCAAAATCAAAACCCATTTCCATGTCCGCAAAATCAACGATGTCAGATATGTAAGGAGCATAATGATGCGGGTAAAACCTGAAAAGAAAAAAAAGGTAAAAAAGAAGACAAATGTTTTTCTTCTGTACATTACTTTATCCCAAACTAACCAGCTCCAACTGCAACAACCATGATAGTAGTAATGCAAATTCCACTGAATAGCTCGAATGTAGCCCTGCGCCTGTTCCCGAAGTTCTTCCTTACTTATATTTTTATATTTCAGTTTATCACAATAATAGGTACGTTTATAATTCTTGAATTCTCTATTTACGATAGGAGTCCAAACTGCCTGCAATGAAATTTAAAGATATGCTCTCAACACACGTGGACACTCAATATATCATGCAATTTTAGAAAAAGAAATTGAAATAGAAATGACGCGAGTAAAGATATAAAACTACCGCCAGGTTAACTGCGATTAACGAGCATAATACAGAACACACTATCATAATGAAGTGGTTTTAAATTTAAACGTACCTGGCAATCGTTTTCATAGTCTTCGTCATTTAACAGAGAATTAGAAAGACTATCACCTGAATGTTTATTCAAATCAAAATACTCGTCAGAAAAAAAAAATGTTCCTAAAAATTAAAAAGAAACAAACTTATGGTGAAGACCATATGATTTATTAAGAACTCACGAGATAATGCTTCGTTAGAATTCAGAAATTTCGCATAAAAACTACTATCAGAAAAATCATTGTCGGTATCAAACGCTTCTTTATGGGTTTTACGAGAAACTAACTCAGGCATCTCTTCTTCAGAATCGACATCAGAACATGATTCTAAATCTTCAATCTGAAATTTGAAAAAATTTTTCAGAAACGAAAAAAACGACAGTAAAATTAATTTCTTTGTAATTTGGTTAAACACTGTAAAACATAAAATCAAATTTCCACCTTTTTGTGCAACAAAATAACCAAAAACTAACATCCTCTGGACTTGGATTATCAGGACAAATCTGAACAAGAGCACTGCTTCTTAAAGCATAAGATCTTCGCTTGGAAGATAGGTACGCTACATTATCCATGTGTTGAATAAAATTCTTCTTATCATTTATGGCAAGATATTTCAAAAAAACTTCAAAACGTCGTAAATTCAAAATACCTGCCTCATTGATATAACCTGTAAATAATGACCATAAAACATTGTTTAGCAAGTTCCTAACAAATGGTATATATGCACGTCCTACAATAAGGATGACTAAACAATATGAAGTACTTTTAGAAAAGTTAATTTGTCAAAATTAATTACAGTGCAATGCTCATAACTGTATTAGTAGTGGGCAAATAAGTACACAATTAGTACACTTATTCTTGTAAGAATAATAATTTCGAAAAAAAGAATACCATCTAACTGAGGTAAGACTTCACTATATGCGTGATATAGCAGAGATAAAGCATTATCATGGATAAAAATATGTGGAAGGTGAGGTATGAAATCGTTACCGACTAAAAAAGCCATAAGTACCCAATCATCAATTACACATTCTAAGTCGTACTTGAACCGTAATATATCCTATAAGTAACGAGGAATGTATTAACATGAATTGACAATTCAGTAATGATAACAAAAATAATGATAAAGTACGAAAGCAGCATTTATCAAAAAATTTTTACCTTTAGTGACAGGAACTCCAATGAAACATATTCCCGAAGTAAAGAGAGATGTAATAATTGAAATCTTAATCCATCAACATCACATCTAAAGTTTAATCAAAGAAAGAATTCAAATTCAAACAGGAACAAAAACTTGACATAGACAATACATTATTGAACAACAAACTACACTAAACAATAGAAATTTCTATACCTCACTTTCTAATATTATAAAATAAAAAACTTTGAAATGTAACATCCTTGTTTAACAATGACTTCGCATAAAACAGAAATTATTACAGAATACGAAACAAAGAGATACTGGGACACCTGCTACTGAAAAGAAACTTAAACCTACCTTTAAAAACCCTAGAGAAAAACAATTTTTCAAGACTTGCAAATTATATGAAGTTAGGAAACTTACCTATATTTCTCAGTACGATTTTTCCGTCGTCCAAATTTCACTTCTTCACGCAATAAAGCGAAATGAGGTTCATGTGTACACATTCCTAACATTATCTGAACACATTAAAAAACAATTTTATTTTCTGATGACTACTTGATTTGCTAGCAAAAAATTTAGAATGACGTACCAAATCTGCATCAAGACCGTATAGGCAATGTCTGGTATCAGGATTATAATCAAAACGACTTCTTTCATAACGTATAAAATCCATTATTTTGTGCTCACCCTCTCCTGGACACTGAAAAGTATAAAATTTAGAAAATAAACACATCAAAAATCTCAAAACAATATTTGCAATTACTCACATCATGACCAGAAAGATATACTCGAAGCCCTTGCCAACAACTATCCGTAGCAATCTTCAACTGAATAAAATACTGTAACTGCTGATGAAGACGATCCATGAACATTGTACCTAAATTAATTTACACGTAATAAGTAAACAAGCAGTTGAGAAATCAAAAGTAACTGATTTCATCATACATACAAATGTAAGGACTCTGTAACAGTTAGAATGAAATTCAGCAAACCTGGTGTAATACAATTTGAGTCAAACGGTTTCTCGATTGGAATCTCCACACCTGCATTTTTTGCTTTTTTTAGCGCTTCCAACATTTTTTTCGCAGACCTGCAGAAAACAAAAAAACAGTTTCAACGATGTTTAAACAAATGCAGTTGATAAATCAAAAGTAACTGATTTCATAATTAGCATAATGTAGGGTGAACAAAAAATTTTTAAACATTCCTTACATTCGAATTAAAGGACAAGGAAGAAATCCCAGTAACCAACACATATAAGGTATTGGTTAAGCAATAACCGTTAAAAAATACAAACATGAAACGCCGCGCTCTCTGTTGATTCATCTTAGCACGCGGTGCGACACCATCAACAGCCATGAAGAATACTTTTTTGGGCTTTATTATGCCAAAGAGAACCTGAAATAAAGTTACAATCATCGCAAATTTTGTTAAATGAAATCGAAATTATAGCTGGAGCTTCTATGTCAACAACTTCTTACATCAACATAATGGAATATATCATGGAATATTTGATCCTCCGAAATTTGAAAAGTAACATCATTATCATCAGGATGGGAGCAATTGTGTATTATTCCATTCATATCCAAATATAGGTTATCGAATTCTGGGATCTGAAGCAAGTAACTATACTGATTTACAGAAATGCGAAAATTCAAACTAATGAACTTTAGCAAAATCTATCAGAAAAAATCAGCACTTTCTTGTTGATTACTGCCTACCAAATCTTTGTTTTTTTAAACCATTTATCTTGTGTATTGATATGAATAATAGATAGATAAATTAATCAATAAAAGCAGCTCAACCGCTCGGTAAAGGTACTATACATAGAGAGAGATATATATCAATAAATATAAGTTTGTTAAGCAGAGTACAATAAAAATGTCCATATTATAATGAATCATATATCACCTGATCATCGCAAACCACCTCACTAAGGCAGGGATAGCGCTCGCTAAGCCACCGATAAAACTTTGGTACACCCATTATGATTTGTGCATGACGAATTCTGAGATAACTTAAAGATTAACATCATTTTCGTATCTCAAAGCAAGTTCTCTCGTTTTCACAAATTCTATACATATCTAACATGAATTATGTTATCGTACACTATTTAAAGTGTATAAAATATTTTTTAAACTCTATGAACGACAAAAACTGCAGCAAAAGTGTCTAATACAACTAAGTTCTCTCCCTCTTTATGCTAATTATTCATGAAAGCCTGATTATGTCGCGCTATGTGACCCAGAAATTTTTATGATATATTGTATATCATCAAGGTCATTATGAAAAAAAAAGAAATCACTGCACTAGACGGTGTTAAGTGAATAAGTGCATATTTCCTGAATATAAAAAATAAAGAATTGGTAATTGTAGCGAACATGGAAAAAAAAAATTCATTCATTAGCAAGTTTTACTTCAAATTTTGCAAGGAAAAATTTATTGTACACTCTTTGTAAAATTTGTTTGCTGAAGAATTGATATCATAAAGCTGAAGTTTTATGAAATAGTTGTAGTCTAATCAGTTGATTGTGATTACAGATCGTTTATCACTTTTTTAATTTATCCCTTTAAAATTATTTCCATATTATTTTTAAGAAATTTTCTATTCTCTTAATATATTGTTTAGAAAAGAAAAGTAGTCATCAGCAGTGCTACCATTGATAGTAGTATCATGTTGACATTGTTGAGTTTCTGAAAAAAGCTTTTTGGAAATTATCGAAAAAAAAAGCATCGGCGTTATCAGCTTTATCAGTATGAGTATTTGGAAACAGTTTTCAATTAGTGATGCATCTCATATGGTTGCTTCTTCTCTATGCTTTTACTATACATGCAGGTGAAAAATATTTTCAGTCTTACTCAAATTTTGCTTTGAAGAAATTATAGATGCATTTGTTACTTGAAAATTTGGCTCCAAAAATAATTTGAAATTGATCAATATGAAGTGAAAATGTTAAAATTAGTTAGCAAAAAAATTGACTTTACTGATTATTATTATCCCTCATCAATGCTTGTAGAAGAACAAGAAATTTAATGCAGTTCAACATTAAAAATAAGAAACTTTATATGAAAATTCTTATATAAGGTAAGTTATCTACTTTCCTATTGTACTAATTTTTTTTTTTGCTGATTATGATGTCAACATGAATTACTTCAGCAAATCAACGAGTTAAACAGGATATTCCTCAAACTGATGCTTGCTCTGTTCCTTGCACAGGTTTGCACAAAAAAAAAGCTATTTCCTTTTTTAATTTGAAATATTTTAGTTTTAATAATAATAATAATAATAATAATAATAGTAATAATAAATAATTTAGTAAAAGTTTCGTAATATAGAGAAATAGCACAGCTGCTTAGAAATATCTGATTCTGCTTCAGTATATAACTATACAAGGTTAATCATGACAAAACTATGCATTGCTTGCTCACGAATTTTTTATACTTTTAATCGTGCGAAAAGTTTTCGAAAATTCAAGTTGAAAATGAAAATTAGTTGATTAAACTTCGCGTAAAACCAATGCTTGATTGATTGTTATCGAATGGTTTTCGATGATTTTTAACCTGCAATCAAAAAAACTCCCATCAAAGCTCGCAATAGCAATTTTGTCAATCTTATTGAATGATAAGGAAAAATCTACAAATAATGTCGTAATCTTTGTTCCTCTTTTATGATAACAGAAGTTAATCAGTAAATTGTTGTATACTGTATGAAGAAATTTAAAAAATTTCTGATTGGCTAATTGTGAATTTTATTAAAAATTTAATCAAAATATATCTCATTTTGGTATAATTTTATGATGCTAAATACATTTTGATGTGCTATTGATTCTGATCATTGTGATCAAATACTTGCTCGCAGTTGAAAATTACATATCCAGCACATTAAAATATTTGAAAAAATGGCAACTTTTTATTCCCGTATTACG